TCTAACAGATTACTATTACCGAAAGGGTAACAGATGTAACTAAGTAAGTAACTATTACCGAAAAAAAAGAAGAAATCATTTTACATAGAATTGACAGCTACTTTCGTTGAAATTAATTAAGTATCTAGTAGGATATTTAAAAAACAAAAGGAATGTTAAGAGGCAGTTACACATTGAAGACAATAGTGAATGGTTGCGTAATATCATGGATTGGTTGAAATTAGACATGAACATTGTTGGATAGCGACTCAATGGTCTGGAGATTTAAGAATTTGCGCGTCGAGACCAAAGATCCTATGTTCGAATCCCTTTGGTGTGGGATCGTGGATGTGAACATCTGACGAGTCATATACTGAGATCAAATGGTCGTTCAATGATTCTAGATTTTCACTGGTGATCTAGCTTAGATAGGTTCATGAAGTCAACTATAGAGATACATTATTAGTTCATTTTAAAAAATGTATATAGATACTTTATTTATCAGTTTAAGGGTTGTGGAGATTATTAAGTTTTTGATTGAGATTATGGACCTATTGATGTTAGACCACCGGTGAAAACCTGGAGACACTGGACGGCCGTTTCGTCCTATTGTGGGGCTCCTCAACAGTGCGCATCCACGATCCCATACCAAACGGATTCGAACCCAGGGCTTTCAGTCTCATGCGCGAACGCTTAACCTACTGGGCCAATGAACCGGCATCCAATGGTGTTAATGTCTAAACTCAACCAATCCACCAAGATGCGCGACCATTTTCTATTGTACTGAGGTAAACACCCGACATAGATTAGCTCCACTGGTCATGGCTTTTCACTAGAACTCCGAGAATTTCTTCAAGAAGCTCGTCAGTAGTGAGCACATGTTAATTATCAGTTTAGGGATTGTGGAGATTGTTAGGCTTTTGATTAAGATCATGAACCAATTGATGTTCATTGCTACTAGGCTCTCAATGGTGGTCTCACATCAATCGGTTCATGATCTTAATCAGATACTTTATCTGTTTGTATGGCTGTAGATGTGTATGTGAGGTAGTAGTAGTAGTAGTAGTAGTAGTAGTAGTAGTAGTAGTAGTAGTGTGCTACTTATATTGACACAAATAGTATATGATGATAGTCGTGAACAGAATTTCTGGCAGCAGAGAGACAAGAGGATCGAACAGTAAAGAATCGAAACAGAATGCAATTTGTATAAAAATGCAAGAACAATGAAGTCTGAGTCATTATGAGACAATTGATGGACATTTAGCAGATTAAGCATTTACTTTATGATTGTTAGATTTTATGAACAAGTCCTGTAAGTTGTGTGCCAAATACTTTCGGTTGTCTCCACTGGTGTTCGTGTTCACTACAGTAGTAGTGGTAGTAGTATGAGTATGAGTAATAGTGTGAATAAAAGTCACATAATGATCTCAACAGTTTACTTTCTATTTATTTCATGGTGAATTATTTCTTAAGTTTGAACTTTTTCCTCATATAAGTAGTATGTTTCAATGTTAGTAATATAAAATAGTAATAATAATAATAATACTGTCATATTTCATTCAGGAAATGACTAGAATGAAAAAGAAACTCTTATTTGATGAATGATATAAAGTTTATTGGTTGAATAAAATGTGAGGTAGTTTTATGATGACAATGATTTACTGTATCTTTTATGCTTTCCCTTTTCTTTATCTCAGTGTTTTTTTATTTCTTTTAAAAAGGAATTCAATTCAGTGAACTTCAATAAATCATAGTTGTCTTATTCACTAATTGTATATTCATCTTAAGTTGATATTCCTTGATAAGAGATATCATTGTGAATTCATAGTATTTATCGAAGCTAGACCATCATGAACAACCTGGAAGTATTAGATGGCTGTGTTTGTTCAATTGTGGAACTTCTCATCTACGAAACTGAAAATCTAGGGTTCGAATCCTTTCAGTGTGGAATCGTCGATACACACTGTTGAGGAGTTCTATAGTAGGATGAAACGGTTGTCTAGTACTTTCAGATTTTCCATGGTGATCTAGTTTCAATTGACTCATGAATTCAACGATTACATTACTATAATATCCACAAAACCTCTTCTGATACTTATCAGTGTTCATCATGTTCCATCTGTTAGCTTGTGGAAATCGGTGCTGTCTGTGAGATTCGAGAAATATGTCATCTAACACATCAAAACTTATATGAATAGTGAAATTTTGACTTGATCAATAGAATTCGATTAGAAACAATTAATGATTAAATATGACACTGGTCATTTGTATTCGATTTATAAACTGTAAGACTGGATAGTGTCTAGCTCTTCTGCAACTGGGTTTGAGTTGTGCTGCTCAGGTTAAAACTGGGCAATGTCTGGTTACCGTATATCACCAGACAAGCCCTGACTTGAAGTTGTGAAGGGAAGCGGAAAAGAGGAAGGCCAAAAAACACAATACGTCGGGAAATAGAATCAGATATGAAAAGGATGAATAACAACTGGAAGAAGTTGGAAAGGATTGCCCAAGACAGGGTTGGATGGAGAATGCTAGTGAGCGGCCTATGCTCCTTCACGAAAAGTTTGTCTGAATGATAAAATGTATAATCTCTGTTTAGCCAAAACCCTCAACAAAGTGACGGTTGCCTACTACTTAGTTTTGTATCGATTCATTGGTGAAAATAATTAATGATAGGTGATTCAAGTTCCTCCGATTTCTTATCTAAGATCGTAAAAATGTCATTCAATAAAAATATCTAGTCGAGCAAACTCAGTAAATATTCATCAAGATCTTGAAGAAGATACAGAACTAATCAGATACTTTAAATCATTTGATTTATTGATCTTACAACTGAGTGGTCTCAAACACGTTACACAGGAACAAAGTCACTATTTAAATTCACTTTGTATTATTTACTTGAATCTTCCCAATTGATATTTAGGACTGCAATTGACCAGTCTCTTATTAGCATATGATGCATACTATGCGTATGCCTCAATATTGTCTTAATTCACAAGATTTTATAGACAAAAAAGAGATAGTGGCTAACAATAGAATCCAGCTTGACGCACGTTTCATCCTATTTGGAACTCGTCAGCTGGATATACCTGAATCTCAGAGGTGATATCCACTCTAGGACTCGAACTCAGTATCATTCGCTTCAAACACCATCGGGTTATCCACTTAGCTACTGATTCCTGATAGCCAATTGCTTGTGCAATGGGGTGAAGTTTAATTCACTTGGTATTGCTTATTTGAATTCTTCTGATTGATGTTTAGAATTGCAATTGTTCAGTCTCTTATTAGCATATGCTACATACTGTACGTATTACCTCGTTATTGCTTTAATTGATGGAGTTTTTGAATGTTTACTATGGACTGTCCAGATTTCAAACATTTTGATACCGAGTTACTTATTACTCATTACCATCAATGATCCCCAATCAATAAATCACTCAAGTATGTTTTAACAATGGGTCATCTCTTTAAGTCTATTCACTTTTTATACTTCTCATTATAGTTGGTTTTATGGATCAGGCGGTGTTATATATTTTTACTATTTAGACTTAACACTCACAAGATTACATAACTAATAAGTAGTATAACTATGCACTAGAACTTATAAACTTTTATACTTACGTAATTAGTACTATACTGAATGAGAACACAACCAATTGAAGACAATCAAATATACTTGGATACAAAATTACATAATCACTTAATCAAATCTCAGAATCATACAATAAATAGTTCATTTACAAAATGTTAATCAATCGTCTCAGATTTCATTGTTCTTTCGTTTCTATCCCATTCATTCTCTGTTCTCTCTTGTACTGTCAGGTATTTCACTTTCGATTAATGATACATACTACTTATATGTGATGACATCAATAATACACACCACGGTACATTTTTAATATAAAGCTAACTAACGAATCCATGATTTATAAACTATGTAAGGCTATGTAAGGAAACATAAAGCTCATTATGACGCTTATATATGTATATAATATAAACCAACCATTTGATATATGTTCATTAGACTTATACAAGTTCATTGATTCACTAAAGAATAGTTTATATATTTCTAATTTTCAATTCTAGTCCCAACATTCATTATCACTAGAGTATCTGAATACAAAACTTCACCTAGAGTCCCTGTGGGGCTACTGCCGGTCCCAAGTTTAGGTTAAGGAGAAGAGTTAGGCATAGGTTTAGTGACCCCATCCTGTAGAAAGCTAACTCGCTAAAAAAACGCTAACCAGAACAAATTTTTCAAACCATTTAAATACAAACTGAATAAGTAGTATATTACTACCGGTAAAGTTATATTTGACAATTTTATTAATGACAACTGTCTTGAAACATTCAACGAATAAAGAAAAGGAGACATTACACCAACCAGGGGGGGGACAGAAATTATTCTTAAGCAAACGTTCTTCATTTAATTTTGAAAATATTGACCAGCGCTTTTCATTTTAATAATATAAAGATTAAGTTCTCATTCGTAAAGGTGAAAGTTTCTATTTCCACATTTAATAAGATCATAGTTAGATACTACTGAGAATTCTAACACTTGAACGAAACAATTATCCAATCTATCATTATTTCTAATGGTTTCCTTACCAACGAATATAATAATTGAATTTATGAGTTAGTTAAAGTTAGATCAACATGGAAGCACTGGAAAACTATTTCGTCCTAGTATGAAACTCTTCAACAGTACACAATCACAATCCTACACCCAGTATTCGAACACAACACTTAAGGTTATAAACATTTTGTAATCTAAAAGTTAAGTGTTCGATTAATAATAAAACCGATAAATCCTGAGTTCGAATCCCTTTGTTACAGAATCATAAATACACACTGTTAAAGAATTCTATCATAGAATAAGATTGTTGTTCACTACTTCAAGATTTTCCATGATAATCTAGCTATAATGAACTCATGTATTCAATTATTAAATGACTATACTTTACACATAACCCACCTTCTAATAACATTAAACATTTATATAATGATAAACAAATACTTACCAATGAACATGAATAATCCAAAAAATACTTTAATGATTGAATTCATTATCAACATTTAATTCATTTAAATAATAATGATTAAGTTTATTCAATACTCCTCATTCATTTACATTATATTAAGTATATAAGTAGTATATAGAAAGTTCATTATATAATATTTATCATTATTCATTTATTACTTTTCTTATCAAATTATATTCTTTATGATGAATCAAAATTTTATTATTTTTTTTTAAAAAAAACTAAATAAATAAATAAAAAGAAAAGAAAATTTTAAATAAACACTTTATTCTCATTGGTTGATTAATCCTATGACCTTGAGCGGTAGCTTTTCGACCAATCAGAAGCTTAGTATCAAAATGGGTTTTGTGGAGAGTTTTAGAAATTTCACTGATTGAAATCATAAGTCAATTGAAGCTAGACCACTATGGAAAACTTGGAAGCACTGGATGGCCGTTTCATTCTAGTATGGGACTCCTCAACAGTGCGCATCCACGATCCAGCATCCAGCGGGATTCGAACTCAGGACCTACTGGGTCCAAAAAACCCATTCTGATAATAATCAACTACTCACTAGTGACTGACTTCAGGAAAATAACTCTGGAGTTCTAGTGAGAAGCTGTTATCAGTGGAGTTCAACCAGGTCTGTTGTGAGATAACAACTCACTGAAGACAATGGTATACAGTGGGGCAACTTCGTGGATTGGTTGAAGTTAGACATTAACACCGTTGGATGCCGGCTCAGTGGTCTAGTGGTTAAGTGCTCGCGCGCGAAATCAGTAGGTCCTGGGTCCGAATCCTGCTGGGTGTGGGCTCGTGGATGCGCATTGCTGAGGAGTCCCATACTAGGACGAAACGGCTGTCCAGTGCTCCCAGGTTTTCCATCGTGGTCTAGCTTCAATCGACTGATGATTTCAACCAGAAGCTTTATATTTGTTTTTTTTGCAAAAATTTTTCTTTTTTAAAAATTTATTAAGGTGTGTTTTTTTTAAAAATTTAAGTGAAATATGTCAAATTTCAATGGTTAAGATCATGAGTCAAATAAAGCTAGACCACCATGGAGAACCTGGAAGCACTGGACGGTCGTTTCGTCCTATTGTGAAACTCTTTAGCATTGCGAGTCCATGACCTCACCCCCTGTGAGATTCGAACCCGCGACCTACTGGTTTCGTGCGCGAGCACTTAACCACTAGACCACTGAGCTAACCGGCATCCAACAGTGTTATTGTCTAACTTCAACTGATCCACGAAATTGAACGACACATCCACCAATGTCTTCAGTGAGTTACTATCTTACAACAGACCCGATTGAACTCCATTGGTCACTAGAACTCCAGAATATATCTCTTGAAGTCAGTCACTACTGAGCATATGTTAATTAATATCAGAAGAGTTTTTATGGATCTTACCCATTGAAATTACTATAATATTCACAAAACCCATCTGAAATATATTACTTAAATGAATTGAAAAAACTGAAAAAAAAATTTGCTTTTTTTTAGAAATAAAAACAGAAATGATTTATGATATTTGAATGAATTCCTTATTATTATCAATGATAATATATTAGAAGGAATGAATATACAAATGATTGTCATTTAAGGGTAGATTTGTGAAAACATTGAAAGTATGAATAGAATCATATAGAATCACATATAGATATCCATGTATATTCTCATTAATTGTGTTGTGAATTGTAATGAATGGTATTTTGTTGCTTCTTTCATTCATTCCTTCCTTCATTCATTCATGAGTGGAATGTATATAAACAGTGATCTAGATGATTTGTGTTATTTTACTTAGTGAATAAGAGTTAAAAAGAAAAGATTGAACAACTGTTTCTATCATTCAACTATGTGTTACTTTACTTTTCTTTTTTTTTAAAAAAAAAGAAAAGAAAAGAAAAACAAAAAGAAAAACCAATGCATTTCTTCTGATGGTTTTGTTTTGTTTTGTCTTGTTGTTTTTAAAGAGAAAAAAAAAGAAAGAAAGACAAATACCAAGGGTGATGATTAGATCTAATTAACTAGTTATGGTAAAAATAATTACATGAAAGGTAGATAGTCATAAAGGGCAAAAGAAAGGAAGAAAGAAAGAAAATGTCATGTAACTAATAGGACAATGAATATCTCTATATGGATTATTATATAATGAAGACTTAGACATTTGTAGAGAAAGTATGGAATACAATGAATAACTTGGAATCAATTCAATTTGAACTTTATAGATCACCTAGCTCTTCTATCGTATACCAATCAATTCATGTCAAGACAAACAGTGTAACAGCAGCCTTTGAATCAGTAGGCTTCAATATAGACAAAAAGAAAAGTAAGATTCGTAAATACAATAAGGAGAACAAAAACCTAATCACACTTGATGAACAAACTCTAGAGGATGTGGAATCTCTCAATTACCTGGAAGACATCATCGATGAACATGAAGGATCTGATGCAGATATAAGAGTGAGGATTAACAAAGTAACAAGAGTATACCAACAGTTCAATGACATATGCAACTCAAAACCACTGTCTGTCAACCAATGTCAAAGTCACAATCTTCATTACGAACGTTAATACAGTTAGTTCTAAAATACGAAGCTGAAATGTGGACTACTACTATTACTACTACCATCATCAAAATAGTACAAGTATTAATAAACAATTGCCTATGCAAGATACTCAATGTTCATCGGTCGGATACCATCAGCTACAATCTACTGTAGGAGAGGATAAACCATCTACCAACGGAGTAGGAAATTAGGAAAAGACCTTGAAAGTGGATAAGATACACATTACGCAAATCACCAAACTGCATCATGAGTCAAGCCCTAACTTGGAATCATGAAGGGAAGTGAAAAACAGGAAGGCCAAAGAACACATTACGTTGGGAGATAGAAGCAGATATGAAAAGGATGAATAACAACTGGAAAGAACTGGGAATGATTGCTCAGGACAGGGTTGGATGCAGTATGCTGGTAGTCGGCCTCGACGAGAGGTAACAGTCGTAAGTTAGTAAGGAAGTTATATTATCGTAAAGTGATTAAAAGATTAAGTGATGTATCCATAGTCTGTCTAATAAATACATAAATATGAAAACAGTAAATGTTTGTTGAAACTTGAAAAAATACACTCAAGCGATTAATGAACTACTGAGGATCGTTTATCAGGATAACATACTGAAGAAAACAGGTTTTTTCTTCAAAAGAAGTCAGATGTTTCACTGAAAGTTATAAAGAATGAAAAGATGATACAATGCCAGCATGTTTGTGATCCTACGATGTTGATGAGAATGTATACAGTTCCCTTATGATGTAGTAACGTCAGTTTGAAATTTTTATAAATCTTCTAATTGAACACTAAATTCAGTTTCCAAACTCTCTAGTAACCTCCAGCCAACTTCAATATGATAGAAAATCTATAAAATATCGAAGAAATGCTTTACTTCAAGGTTCGTCCATGTACAGAAAAACTGGGGGGTTTTATACCATTTTAGATGGCCTTGAACTTAGCTGTATACACGTAGTCATATGAGAACATTTGGAAAGGAAGAGCTGACGCTCCCCACTGTTGCTCGTAACAGGACATTTGGGGATCTACACTTTTATTCATACTTATAGCACTAATAATAATCATTAACTGATCTTAATATACTGCTCTTTCAGGAATATCCTAGAGTGATTTCATTGAAATACAAAAGAAAATTACTTTCTTAAACGAAGCATTTGATAGATGAGTTCAGACAAAGGAAAATAAAACAGTTTGCAGTAAAACTCATTCAGTATTTCTCATAGAATAAACTTGTTTCAAGCTATTTATTAACATCAGAAGGGGTTTTGTGGAGATTGTAGCAATTCCAATAGTTGAGGTCATGAGTCTATTGAAGCGCGTGCGAGATTGATAAATCCTGTGTTCGAATCCCGCGAGGCTCAGTCGTGGATGAGCACTGCTGAGTCCCACAATAGCTTCAATCATCCACTTGAGCTATAAATCTTCTCCACCATCTTCCAGACTTATTCATGTGAGTTACTTTAATCATAATTCAGAATTATGATTTTCAGAAGATTATAGATTGTAACCAACTAATATGAATTTAATCAAATCAAATGAACTAATGTTATTCTTGACATTTGCTCTCCCTAAAATCAACATATTTGTGATTAGTATCAGAAGGACTTTTGTGGAGATTGTAGTAATTCCAGCAGTTGAGATCATGAGTCAATTGAAGCTAGACCACCATGGAAAACCTGGAAGCACTGGACGGCCATTTCGTGGATGCGCACTGCTGAGGAGTCCCACAATAAAACGAAACGGCCATCCGATGCTTCCAGGTTTTCCATCGTGGTCTAGTTCCATTTGATTCATAATCTCAACTTTTGATATTTGTGATTCACCACTGGTTAATTATTAAGTATTAACTGTGTTATAACTTTTGACCGCCGATTAGAGGGCAGTGAATTATCGATCGGACCAAGCATGCGTAAAACACATGCGACTAGCCTAGAGTCCTTATTGTCCTGCTTATCGGGACACAACAAACTGATTTAGTTACTGGTTTAAGTAAGCTTACATTGAATGAACTATTATAAGTTTTAAAGTAGTTCAAGGTAATCTCTAGTGATTCCTAGATTTAGTATTTGTGTTTATGAGGACACTGATTCACATGCATTCTGAATTCTGTACACTTTTTCGTATTATAATCAGAGATATGACCACTAGACTACTCAAACCTTTAATAACGTATTCCAAAACTTTGATCGAAAACTTTCGATCAGTCGTCTCCATCTGTATAACTTCTAATCTATCATTATTCAGATTACTATGAAACTATAAGAAATGTGCGAGGGTTTATATAAAACAGCATATAAATGCCATTAAACTTAAAGAAAGTAAATCAGTCAAGTATTTACAAACAAAAAGACAAGAAAACATGTACAAATCATTTACTTACCTACTTACTTGAGCCTGTTACCCCTCGTTGAGAAGCATAGGCCGACCAACAGCATACTCCATCCAACTCTGTCCTGGGCAATCATTCTCAGTTCTTTCCAGTTATTGTGCATCCACTTCATGTCCGCTTCCAATTCTCGATGAAGTGTGTTCTTTGGTCTTCTTCTTTTTCATTTATTTTCATGATTCTAAGTTA